ATGTGAAAGCTCCCTATCTAATCCACAACATCACCTTCTGGCATCCCAAAGAGTAGAAATCTAAATTAGAAGTATTGCTGCATTTGCCTGAGTGAACTAAGAATGTGATCCTGATCAGCACTTTCAATAAAGCAACTAAGGAGTCCACATTTACACTTGTGAAGCAACGTATTTTGAAAGCCATTTAAGTAACCTGGCCAGTTTTGTTAGTTCCCTTCACTTATACCTTAACCGTGTTTGTTTGACTGTCTTTTGTGTGAATGGGGCTAAAAATAAAAGTTTCTCATTTAAACTATTAATTCGATAACATGTTGTTTAATTTTCTCTCTGGTAAAGGTATATAAAGATACTTAATAAGCAGTAAAGACTTTTGTTTAAGATAAAGAAAACCGGTGTCTGGAAATGAATCATTCTCAAAGTCTGGAATAGGTTATCCAAGGGTCTGTTTAGGAACCATTGAAGTGACTGTGGGTTGTTCAATGGTTTACTCTTACTGCATTGTGAATACAGAGGTAGAAAGGCTGATTCGGTTCAGCTGCCTGTTCCCATGTTGTAACAGCTACACGTGACAGGGCCACAGCAAAGTGATTAACTCTTAACTCCCCTCTAAAATTACCCCGTTTGCCATCAGTTGTATTCAGCTGTCAGTCTAATGAAACAAATGAAACTAGAGGAAACACCTGGTATCAAAGTAGGCACTGGAAATGGCAATGTCACTGTAGATTCTGAGAAAAAATCTTGTCTGCATCTACTCTGTCTGGAGAGAAAAATCTCCTTGAACTTGTCTTGTCAATCTAACTGTCACAGATGCATTCTTCCAAGACAGTATTGAGAGGAGCGGTCACTGCATAGTCCAAACGGAGACAAAGTCCCAGCTTTGTGAGGATACCATCCGTTATGTGTAAAGCAGGACCATCAAGCTAAATCGAACAGACATTGAACAGACCTAGCAATGCAAAACCATTCATTCATGAGGCACATTGGGCCATCAGCAGCAGCGGAATTGCATTCAACCACAATTTGTAACATCATGGTCAGGAATGTATCCCACTTTATCATTAGTAGCTACTCAAATAGCGAATGCACTGGTAGTAAACTTCCACAAGTCCTTTGATTCTGGAAAAGTCACAATGGATTAGAAAACTGCCAATGTAACACACTTGCTCACAAAGGGAGGTAGACTAAAAGCGGGTAATTATGGGCCACAACACAGGAACAAAAACAGAAGTTGCTGGAAAAGCTCAGCAGGTCTGGCAGCATCTGTGAAGAAAAAGTCAGAGTTAACGTTTCAGGTCTGGTGACCCTTCCTCAGAACTCAAAGGTACAGAGTTCGGAGGAAGGGTTACTGGACCCGAAATGTTAACTCTGACTTTTTTCTTCACAGATGCCACCAGACCTGCTGAGCTTTGCCAGCAACTTTTGTTTTTGTTTCTGATTTATAGCATCTGCAGTTCTTTCGGTAATTATGGGCCAGTTAGCTTAATATCTGTGATTGGGAAAAATGTTTGAGTCTTTTCTAAGTAGAAGACCATTTAGAAACACATAATATAATCAAGCAGAGTCAACATGGCTTAATGAAAGGGAAATCATGAAATCATGCAATCATGCCTGACAAATTTATGGGAATTCTTTGAGGAGTTAACAAGCAGGATTGATAAAGGGGAAACAGTAGATGTAATAAATTTGAACTTTCAATAGAGTGTTGAACATAAGGCTACTTAATAAGATAAGAGCCAATGGTGTTGGAGTAGCACAGATGGATAGAAGATTGGCTAACTAATTGAAGACAGATAGTTGGAGTGAATGAGACATTTTCAGGATGGCAACCTGTAGAATGCAACAGAAACCAGTGCTGAAGCAACAATTATATTCAATATATATTAATAACTTGATTGACAGAAGTGATTACACTACAGTCAAGTTTTCACAATGCACAAAAATAGATGGCAAGACATGCAATGAGGGTAGCACAAAGAGTCTGCAGAGGGATATAGACAGGTTAAGGGAGTAGGTGAAAACTGGCCAGAAGGAATATAATGTGGGGAAATATAAGGTTGTACACTTTGTTAAGAAGAATGGAAGAGCTGAATATTATTTAAATTAACATTTAAAGGACCAGTGACATAGTTCCATGCCAAGAAGGTGTATGACTTGAAGGTAGACTTACAGATGGTGGTGTTCCCATGGATTTGCTTCACTTTCTGAACCTCTATACCAATCTGATATTGACACCTCACTTATACTTTTCCTTATCCTGTATCCTGTCCTGTTACTCTGAAATTCATCATTCTTGCGTGCAATCAAGGCTTTTTTAAATCGATGCTTCACCTCCAGTCAGTTGTTTGGTTTTTCTCTTATGCAGCTGTTTCCTTCTTAAAGAGAGAATGCTGTATTCGAGGAACCTGCTTGTTACTCACACATCATTTTTAAACACATAATTACAATCTTGTCAGCTTTTAGATATCTTGAAACTTTTCTCTATGCAGAGTCCATATAATCCCTTGTTACCCAATTCTAATTAGCAATGTGTGTTTGGACTCTGAGTTTAGTATGAAACCCACAAAGTACGTTATTGATTACAGTATTTCCTCTGAATAGTGTGAGTTTCCTTTTTACCCCGTTAAGATGGAATAATAATGTGTTACAGGCTGTGCAGGGATAATAGTTATCTTGGCCAATCCTATGGGTCATTAAACCTCATGCTGTACTATGTAGCACTATTTTGGGTGTTGGAGACAGTATTCACTGCATCAGCAATAGCCATCCATAATGATTATACCAATCTCTTCTGCATCTTGCTGCCCTCAGTTGCCAGGAAATTGACCCTTCTGGCTTTTATTTCTGCAACAATGGATTAATCAGAAAACGTGGAGTCCTTTCTAAAGCTAATGTTTCCTGCTTGATGTCTGTCCTTCCTGAAAATAGGTGCTATTTTCAGCTATTGCACCCACTGAAGGAGCATTTGGTCTTTTAATCGGTTGCTCCATTTTACAAAAGGGACAAACCAAAGACCACTGTTACACAATTCAATTCCATCGCACCTAACGTCTTGGCATCTAATATGGCATCCATGGTATTCTCGCACACAGCTAGCCCTTCCAGATTCCATTTTGCTGAGGGCATTAACACATATAGGCAGTGTCCGCCAGAAGCATGCAGAGATTGTGATATCAATCAGCATGTAACACTGATTTGATGACATCGCTGCCATTTTGAAACAAAATGCTTAAGCCAACATCCTCTGTTAACTTGACACAACTGAACATGCGTGCAACAACACGAGGGATCTTCCCACAGGTGCTGTTTAAATGAATCATCAGCTGCTTTCAGGTTAACTGCTGATTGATATCTGCCAGTTCTTTCTGCAATTGTGGAATTGTTTGACAGGGAGAATTGTGGCACATGCTGAATGACCTTGACCCGTATGCCTCAAGCCACTTTCTCCTGAAAATGAATGCGGCGCTTACACTGGCTTTGGCTGGGAACATGATGGGAGGAATGAGCAGAGGTGGCACAGAGCACGATAGGCTGCTCAAAGATGGAAGAGGGAACAGGCATATGGATCTCAGTAGGAGACCTTATCCACCTCGGTGCTCGTGGATCGTGGGAACTGAACGGGACACTGTGCAGCAAACACCTCTGCTTTGTTAACTCACTGAAATCTGCTAACGACTGCAGCCTCAGATCACAGCAAAGACCTCATCACCAGTGGCTATGCTGATGATCATTGCCATGAGCTTTGAGGTGCCAGGCTGCGTCCAAGCTGAAGAAGGCAGTGTTTGCAACATCTCCCAGAGTTCCATCCCCTTTTGCATAACGAAGGTCACTGAGGTGCCAGAGAGCAGCAGTGGAGTTCACATGGCTTCACAAGCATTGCCTACTGTCCCTACAATGATGCAAGATGTCATCATCAGCTTAAATGGAAGCGAAACTAAGAATTCAATTGGTAAAATTTCATTTTAGTTCTCAATAAGTCATTGTATAATTTGTGCAGAAGATGACCTTGCAAGAGTAATTTGAGTTGTGTCCTTTCCAAGATACTGGAAAATTTGAACCAAATGAAACCATTTGGCGTTGGATTCCAGCCAACCATCCCATCTTTGTCCAATCAGGAGAGTTTGTTTTGCGATACATGCACAAAGGAAAGGAAAATATGCAAAGATGGCAGTTAGATACGAATCTCCTATTATCCCTGCACATTTTGTAAAACAAGACTGGAGAATGCATAGAGCTCTCTAGTTCTTTACATATGTCCCTTTATTCCTGACTCCTGAAAAATCAAATGCACCAAAAGGTAAATGTCTGGAAATCATTTAATATTTTAAATGCACTTCAATGTTTTTAACTGTTGCTATAGTGGATATTATTTGTTTTTTTTCTTAGTTTTTAAAAATTAAAATATATGCATTATATAATTACAATTATTTTTAGCTTGTAAAGAAAACAATTAAGGCTCTTTATTTTAAGGCTTCTGGAAATTGAGCTGATTTCTAAAGAATGTCAGATAGAAAGGTTGGTCATTTATGGTGCAAAAAACTCTATTTTGACTTCAAATGGGTAAATTGTCTCTTCTCAAGGGCATGGCACATGCTAGTGTGACGTAATTTCAAGTAGAAATCAATGCTTTCATTTGAAAGCACTGCACTGGGGAATTTTGTTACATCTATAGCATGAATGAAATGTGATACAATAAAAGGAGCATAAAATGTATTTTGGGCAGCAAAGTGGTGCCTTAGCAAGGTCCTGAGATCCACAAACATGTCAGTAAAGGTTAATGCAAGAAATGAATTGTTTTTTTCCTGTTTTGAAACAAATAAACTAAGTTACATAAAGATTGTGCAAATTACTCCCAAAGTGATCATTTCACTGTCTTTGAAACACTTTGTAATAATGGTAACATAAGTTTTTTTGAAGTGGTGGGAGCTACTGAAAAACTATATTGCTCCACATTGAATGTTTTACTTATAATTGTGACCAAAGAAATTTTCATGTCCCGACAGGTCTATGGAAATGCAGGACCTAGCAAGTCCGCACAATCGAGTGAGCAGTAGTGATACTTCTGCTGGCTCAAAACTGGACAAGGCCAACCTGAGTAACACTTCAATTATATCAAATGGAACAGCGGGTGAGTGATAGGAAATGTTAATTTTCCATTCTTGCTGCTTTTGTTTATATTCCTTATGGCGGCTTTTGAAAGTTCTTTGCTGTTTATTCTTTACTTCAGTGTGTTACTCATAAAGGAGGAAATTTTAGGACATGCCTCTGTGCAGAAACATCTGTTCTTTACACATAGCTCAGACTGAAATGCAGAGACATTTTATGCTTTAGACATTTTTAACTTATGGGTGGGCACAGATCGCCAGCAGTATTGATTAACCTGGTACATGCTCATAAATAATTATATGAATAATCATAATGATAAGAAAGTATCAGTTCCAAGTTAATCTTTCATTTCCTTTCTAAAGTAGGACCATTTATTCTTTTGAAATATGCTGCCACATCGTATATTTCTGTTGGTAGTATATATACAGGTCTTTACACTTGAAAAATTACAGCTGTAAAGTAAAATTACATATTTGAAAATGTTCCCTGCTATTCATCACAGAAGTTAAAGGTAGGTAATATTAGTGGTGTTGTCTTCTTAAGGATGTTCATCACATGCGACTTTAGCATTTTTCCTATGATTCAATATCTGTTAAAATTTGTTTATACATAAGTGAAAAATAGTGGCACTGTAAAACTTGGTATGAATTGAATTATATCATTGATGTTAATTAAGAATAATTAGTTGAGTTTCTAAATTTGACCAAGTGGAAGCACTGCAGCCCCTAACTTCCTTACATAACAGAGCATTCTTGTATTTCCAGTTATATATTCACTTGTGACTCAGTGTGAGACTTTTAATCAAGAGCCCTTTGGTGGATGGATTGTAAGTGTTTTTATTTATTCATTCACGGGATGAGGGCGTCGCTGGCCAGGCAGCATTTATTGCCCATCCCTAATTGCCCAGAAGACAGTTAAGAATCAACCACATTGCTGTGGGTCATGTAGACCAGACCAGGTAAGGATGGCAGTTTCCTTCCCTAAAGGACATTAGTGAACCAGATGGGTTTTTCCCCTGGCAATCAACAATGGATTCATGGTCATCATTAGATTCTTAATTCCAGCTATTTATTGAATTCAAATTCCACCGTCTGCCATGGCAGGATTTGAACCCACGTCCCAGAACATTATCTGGGTCTCTGGATTAACAGTCCAGTGATAATACCACTAGGCCATTGCCTCCCCTGAAAAGCAGTCAAACTACTTTACTTTGGAGTGGGAATTGTACTCCATTTTAATTTGCTCAAATAAACTCCCAGGGCCAGGTTTTTTTCCATTGAAGCTGGGAATCAGGAAGCAAGTTCGATTTCAGCTCATGTTATCCCCAGCATTGCCATGAAGCACAATTTTCACAGGATCAGTCTTAGAGAAGAGTACTCCCAGAATGATCCCAGAGAAGGCTATTCTGGGGTAATGCAAAGGGTATTCTGATCTTTTGTGCAAACTTTCACTTTTTTCGCATGAAGTGAAGCCGTTTCAGCACAGCAGCCCATGTTCCTGCCAAGTTGCAACTGGCCATCCTCAGAGAACTTATAGAGGTCAACCACCACCATGATCATCTTGAGATGTCAGAAGATGGGCTCCTAATGGGCTCCCTCATGACTTGTTCAAGACAAGTCACTGACAGATATGGTGACTTGACTTTCGAACCGACAACCCTGCTCTCCCACTAACCTCAGAAAAATCGTCAGGGTCAGGAATGGAAGTGGAATACTAGTGTCTAGGCCATTGTTCTATTCCATTTTCACCATTCAACTTTCATTTTATCGCATTTCAGAACTGGGAAATCCAGCCACAGGTTCTCCACAATTGAAGGACAGTGGAAATGATTTTGCATTACAGTCTTTTGCCTCAGGATTGTTCTCTTTAAAGTCCAGTTGATCTCCTGGACCGGAGAACAGGAAGGATTAACTTTTTTAACTTGAAAAGGGTGAAGCAGACAGTTTAATTTTAGATTAGCTTTGGTGTCTCTGACCTGATCTAGCCACAGGTAAACCAAACTAGTCCAAAATTCGTGCACAAACATTCCTCATGATTTTCTGTGAGGACTCTGAATGGTTTGTCTCCTAACTTTGCACTTCTTCAGCCATGAAAATTGTACACTGCAACCTCGCTGCCTTCATTTCAGTTCTGAAAATAGTTTTAAAATGTGGAGTGAGCAGATTGCAAGATGGTATTGCTATGCATCTGTGATGTAAAAGAAAGGTGGATAAATCCCTGGGACCTGATCAGGTGTACCCTAGAACTTTGTGGGAAGCTAGGGAAGTGATTGCTGGGCCCCATGCTGAGATATTTGTATCAACGATAGCCACAGGTGAGGTGCCAGCAGACTGGAGGTTGGCTAATATGGTGCTGAGTATTTAAGAAAGGTGGTAAGGAAAAGCCAGGGAGCTACACACCGGTGAACCTGTCATCGGAGGTGGGCAACTTGGTGAAGGGGTTCCTGAGGGACAGCATTTATATGTATTTGGAAAGGCAAGGACTGATTAGGGATAGTCAACATGGCTTTGTGTGTGGGAAATGATGTCTCACTGACTTAATTGAGTTTTTTAAAGAAGTAACGAAGAGTACTGATGAGGGCAGAGTGGTGGATGTGATCTATATCGACTTTAATAAGGCATTCAACAAGGTTCCGCATGGTAGGCTGGTTAGCAACATTAGATCACATGAAACACAGAGAGAACTAGCCATTTTGGGTACAGAACTGGCTCAAAGTTAGGAGACAGAGAGTTGTGGTGGAGAGTTGCTTTTCAGACTGGAGGCCTGTGACCAGCGGTGTGCCACAGGGATCGGTGCTGGGTCCACAGGTTTTCTAGTCATTTGTATAAATGATTTGGATGTGAACATAGAAAGTGTGCAGATGACACCAAAGTTGGTGGTGTAGTGGACAGCGAAGAAGGTTACCTCAGAGTAAAACGAAACCTTGATCAGATGGGCCAATGGGTCGAGGAGTGGCAGATGGAGTTTAATTTAGATAAATGTGAGGTGCTGCATTTTGGAAAGGCAAATCAGGGCAGGACTTATACACCCAATAGTAAGGTTCTGGAGAATGTTACTGAACAAAGAGACCTTGGAGTGTAGGTTCATAATTCCTTGAAATTGGGGTGGCAGGTAGACAGGATAGTGAAGAAGGCATTTGGTACACTTGCCTTTATTGGTCAGTGCATTGAGTATAGGAGTTGGGAGGTCATGTTGCAGCCATACAGGACATTGGTTAGGCCAATTTTGGAATACTGCGTACAATTCTGGTCTCCCTACTATAGGAAGAATGTTGTGAAGCTTGAAACGATTCAGAAAAGATTTAAGAGGATGTTGCCAGGGTTGGGAGGGTTTGAGCTATAGGGAGAGGCTGAATATGCTGGAACTATTTTCCCTGGCGTGTCGGAGCCTGAGAAGTGACCTTATAGAAGTTTATAGAATCACGACAGACATAGATAGGGTGAAAAACCAAGGGTAGCAGAGTCCAAAACTAGAGGGCATAGGTTTAAGGTGAGAGGGGAAAAATTTAAAAGGGACCTTAGGGGCAACTTTTTCACGCAGAAGGAGGTGCGTGTATGGAATGAGCTGCCAGAGGAAGTGTTGTAGGCTGGTACAATTACAACATTTAAAGGGCATCTGAATGGGTATACAAATAGGAAGGGTTTGAAGGGATATGGGCTAAGTGCTGGCACATGGGACTAGATTGGTTTGGGATATCAGGTCGACATGGACAGGCTGGAGCAAAGGGTCTGTTTCCATGCTGTACATCTCCATGACTCTATGACTCTAGGATGTAAAAAAATACAGAATAAATTGCTATGGGCACACAACAAATCCATCACTAACTTGAAAACGTCTACAATGATGCTAGGGGTAACCTATGGATCATCAAGAGAGAGGGTTTGATTTACGAAGAAACTTTTTTTAAAAAAAAGTAAGACACGTTATTCTAATGGGTAACTCAATATAAGTTGGGAAATCCAAGGAGTCTCAAGTCAGATGTAGATGAACCATAAGACTGTTGCATGCCCCAGAACATTACAAGAGGTTGTATTCATCTCAACCTAGTATCAGAACCACAAAAAATTATGGCAACCCTGACCAACTGTGACTACAGAATAAATCAATTGAACAGAATTTGAGATTCAAAAATAGCTGTGATAAACAGCCAAGTAGATCACCTTAAAAAATTTCCTTTTAAAACATTCAGGAAACAACAGAGGCAAATTGACCTGTAAAGCTGCTCAGTAATATCACAGTAAAGAACATACAGAACATCTTTACATACATAACATTGAGCATGCAAGACATACACAAAACCAAAAAGTAGAAAATTCAGACTGAATGATGAATAAACAGGTAAAATATGGAATAAGAATCGACAGCACCCATCGACCCGACAGACAGAAGAGAGATGCGGTTCACTTGGAAAAGTATTGGAATATATATGAACATGTTAAAGAGGTAATGAAAGACCTACAAAAAAGCACAGCTACAGGCACAATGCACAGCAGTGAGTACAAAAACAAACACAGGAACAAAAACAAAGTTGCTGTAAAGCTCAGCAGGTCTGGCAGCATCTGTGGAGGAGAAAACAGAGTTAACATTTCGGGTCCGGTGATCCTTCCTCAGAACTGATGGTGGCTGGGAAAACGTCAGTTTATATGCAGAAAATAGGGAGGTGGGTGGGGTAGGGAGTAAACGATAGGATAGAGCCCAAAGAGAGAGAAAGACAGTTAGACAGACAAAGGATTTGCTAACGATCAGGCTGGGAGGGTGAATAGTTGTTAATGGGGACTGTTAGTGACTAACAACAGGGGGTGTGTAGTGGCAGGCTATGTGGTAATAAGGCCTGGTGAGTGGGGTGGGGGGCTGGGACATGGGAGAGTTTAGGCCCTAAAATTATTGAACTCAATACTGAGTCCGGAGGGCTGTAGGGTCCCCAAGCGGAAAATGAGGTGTTGTTCCTCCAGCTTGCGTTGGGCTTCACTGGAACACTGTAGCAAGCCGGAGACAGAGATGTTGGCCAGGGAGCAAGGTGGT